ATGACAACATAAAAAAAAGGTTTTCTTTCAATAACCAAAATCTTTCTTTAATATGAAAATCCTGAATCCAAGAAACCAACTTTTCAGTTGGTTTTACAGGTGAACTGGTGGTTGATGGAAACAGTATCACCGCTCCAAGTAAACAAATATATAATATAAAGTAGTTTGTGTGGCAATGTTTATCTAGAAAAAAAAAAGTAGGATATTTTGAATGTGCCAGTGCAATTCATATTATATAGCTGGACCACATACTAATTTTTCATGATCCTGGAGATATTTATATGGACATGGCTGCAGGAAAGGGATCCTATTCTTCAGATTTTCAGCTCAAATTTGGAAACCGTTTATAATGGGCCTCACTAGAAGAGAACCTGGTGGACACAATAAGCTCTAAGGTGATTTTTATCACAACAAGAGTAACATTAGGTGAAAGCATGATAGAAATCTCAACATTTAAGTGTGCACTTTGTGACTATAGAGGCATGAAACAACCAGAAGACCATGTCATAAATCCAGGCTGAGAATTCAGAGTGATTGATGTCATCCGACTGTGGCTGCACAGTTAAGGGAAAACTATTTTTCATCAAACCTGAACTGTGACTTTGATAAACATGTACTCATCATGATTCAGTTATTACAAGTCTAACAGCTGTTAAGACCCATTTAAACTTGAAATGACATTCACATGATCAAATATGCCAGAGAGCTAGTGCATAAGAGCAGATTTATTTTCACTTTCATTAACATGGCAGGATAAATTACAACACCTTATGAATTCTATGAAAACTGTGCAACAAATTGCTACCGAGAGTCACACCGGACCTTTGCGTTTTATCAATGCTGTGGGAGACGTATTCTTTCATTTCTACCACAGTTCAGCATAACAAAAAGAATCAACATTACACATAGTACACAGCGTACTTCAGTAATTTGCATTGGCACAGTCAAATACTGTCATGTTACAATTAATCAATGTGTCCAAATGTTACCCAGAGCTGTCCTTATTATAAGCAATGTGCAAAGAGCTGCAACAATCCAATACAGATAAAGTCTAATGAGAAAGAGAAATGTTTTATTAAAAAAACAAAAAGAAGAAACAAAAAAATAGGGGAGTGTGCAAATTAAACACAAAAATCTGTAAGACAGAACAAAGTAAAGCATCTTTCAGCTCAACAGAAACAGCATACATGACAGCAACACTTCCAGACCAAACTAGATTGATCTGTCAAAATACTGGCTCTGCGCTCCAATCACTCTGTTTGGGTTGGCAGCAAGTTTGAGGTCGTGTTGAGACTCTGACGCTTTCCGTTTACTCTGCAGTAAACCGTGCGAGAGTTTAGTCCGAGAACACGAAACAAAAGACTTTGAAAGCAGCTGCATTCGGTTCCTTGTAGCGCCTACTGTGACAGTTTGCTACCACACGTGTCCTGAGTGTAACTCGACTCCAGCCGTACTTACGGCGGTGTTCCTCTGGGCTTCACTCGAGGCCCAGGGAGAAATTAATGCCGTGAACGATACCAATGATGATGGGTTGCCAAGCAACCAAATATCTGAGCCAGTCGAGAAGCTGCCCGTAAAGGACATGCGTCTTCTCCCAGCTGGTTTTTGAGGAATTAAGGACAAAAAACATGTTTTCTAGACAAATGTCAGGGGTGCACTGTACTGATAAAGAACAGTGAAATCAAACAGGTAAAAGCACATTATGTTGAATGTTACAAGGGCAATATTAATAGTTTATGCTTTTTTAGTTATTTTGAGATGACTTAGAAATCACTTTCTATGAAGATCTTAAGAAGTTTCTACATTTTTGTTCATCAATTAAATGTTATCTTCTCTTTCTAAAGAAAAACAACAACAACATATAACAAAAAAAAAACCCCAGCAATACTTCAATTGTCAGCCCTTAATGGAGCGCAAAAGGATACGGGTTGTTCATCATCCTCTTCAAGTCAACCTTCTCATTGCAGTAAGGACACGTCTGCTTTTTACCCACAATGCACCAGCCACGGATGCAGAACTCGTGGAACCTATTGGTTGAGGATCGAGTTAAGGCCGAAAGAGCAACCTGTTACTGAAATAAATCATCATCATATAAACTCCATCTGGGTAACTAAAGCCATTTTGA